TTCATGAGTTTTTTTTTTTTAATTGGAAAACATTTATTGGATCTTTCAACGAAAGTGGGAGTTTGTTATACTCATTCAAACCTTTAGAAAATAAAGACCATTGTACTAGTCAAATTAGTTTGAGGAAGGTGGAATTTTTGGGAGCTACTCGCTCTTGTTAAGTGGTTATGGATTTGAGATTTATATATAAAGAATTCTTCAAAATTCGTTGGAAGCAAGATATGTGTTAGTTTGAAAATGAATAGCATTGCTAACTCGTACAGTCTCTGGGAAACAGACAGCCACTGCAATGTACTTAACATGTTTGATATACTAGAATACCAATTCACTTGTGAAATAATCCTATTTCTACGATTCTGTAACTTTTTTAAAGCCGATACCTTATTTTGGTCAAATGAGTACAACAGACTAGCACAATAATCAAAATGGAGTTGGATCATACAATTGTATAATGTAATTTTTGAGTACATCGAAAGCTGAGATGAAATTCTTGAGAAAAAATATATTTTTTCAGTAATTTTTCTATAGATATAATCAAAATGAGCATGAAGAGATAAACGATTATCCACCATGAAACCGAAGTATTTGAATTCACTTACGAACTCTATTACATCACCTGCAATTTGCAATCTTATGTTGAGTGATAGCTTATAACCAGTTGATAAGATCATATATTTTGTTTTGGAGGTGTCGAGTTTCAGTGTATTGCTATTCATGTACCTGAAAACATTTCTCAGTTCATTATTCATTTGATCAGCTATTTTTTCTATATTATCTCCTGAAATTGATAACGAAGTGTCGTCTGCAAAAAGGTTCATAAAATCACAACCATGAATGGTATCTTCATTATTCAGGTAGATTAAAAATAATATAGGTCCCAAAACACTCCCCTGAGGTACCACGAATATTACCTACTTTTAGAAGAATATGTTGATGGAAATACCAGTGTTAACGTCAAATATTAGCGTAGTAGGTTTCGAAGTTGGAATAGATGTACATGAAGATGTGTACAGAAGTGTACAGTGTTGATGAATTGTTTTTCCCTACATATTTCTTCAGGGGATTTTATGTTTCCAGAATCGTATGAACTGAAAATCAACTATTTCGAATTGAATTTCAAAAATTCACCTTTCCACTGTAAGTTACTACACAGTGGAAATTCCTCTATGGATATAATTCAATGTTCACCTTCATATTCGCCAGGAAATTAGTTACTTTCCAGCATTTGCTGGATCTCACTGTGTAGTAATATTGGCAAAGATGACTATTGTGAATCAAATATTCATAGGAACATTTTGGATATCACCCATTTTTCAACAACATATTTGTTTCAGTATTGATACAAAAACGTCTGAGACGAGAAAAGCGAATCAGGAGACAGTTGAGCGAGCAGTTGGATTTAGAAAACAAAAGGAGAGCTCAACTTGAGGAGGCACTTCGAGCTGTTGGAGCTTCGGACAAAATAGTAACAATAAACGGTAAGTTTCACACCAAATACTTAGATAGTCTTTGAGTAATTAATGGAGAACTAAATGCCTCCTCTCTTCATCTTGATTTGTTGAAAACATTGGCATTTTTTTGTTTTCTGTCATTCTGGATAATTAAAATGAGCTGTAACACATATTTTCAAGACTTTATAATATATATAAAGGGTATAACCAATGAAATTTCGTTTTTTACTACAAAAAGGTTTACAAAACCGCAACATGTGTTTCGCTGAACGACAGCTTCCTCAAGCAGGATTTGATTGCGATACTTTGCTGCCCGCTTGAGGAATCTTTTTTTCAAGGACAGAACACAAACACTACAAAAAACCCTAAAGCGGTGCCTGTGTGAAAGTAGCAAATCACATTGGATTTGAATCGCTGGAGATCAAATTCATTTGGAAAAACGTTTTCAGAAAGTTTATTCCACATAACCGCAGCTCTCCAAATGAAAGCACAATGACAGTCAGTTTATCATGAGCAAACGCATTGTGAATATTGAGCTGTTTCAAATTAGCTTGACTAGACGTTTTCGAAAAATAATTCCGGTATTATGGATTTCATTGTCGTATGACGAAAAAAGAGACGCCGTTTCCTAAACCTTTCATATTGAAAATCAAAATGAATTTTATCAGTGAGTTTTGATATGGATTTAGTTTTGGCCAGGTTCTTTTGGAATTTCATGTTATTATCGTTCAAAAAGTTCATAATAATAATAATAATCTTTATTGAAATAGGAAACCTAACATAAATATCTATGAGTGTAATAATAACACTAGCACAATGAAATATAAAATAAATTATGTAAAAAATTTTAAATTTAAACAACATATTCAGATTTCAGTATTATATGTTAAGTAACATTTAAATAGATGATGAAATATAGGTACATATGTACATTAAATTATTATTAAAACAGTGATGTTTGGTTTCATTACAGATACAAATACCCCAGTGAACAATTAAAAACAATAAATGAAAACACAATAATGTCCCAAATAATTCCACATAACTATACAAATCTTTCAAAATGGATATTTTTTCATTTCTTCAGATAATTCATGTAACTCGTGGAAGCCCTTAAAAATTAACGAATTCATGGTACTTCCGAAAGCCGGTCTCTGTTTATATGTATATTATTGGAATTTCTTGTATTATAATTATGAATGTTTGACAATATAAGGCGAGTGGTGAATGAAGTAGGTAATAGTGAGGAAGAACTGTGTGGCCCATTTTCAAAAAGAAGAGAACAAATCTTATATGCAATGTTCCATAAATCCGATCGATATTCAACCCGATGATGATTCTACCTCATCCGAATATAGTGAAGAAAAATTTTGATTTTTCTAGCAATTTTGTTGGCCTCTTTTATTTTGTGAATATATGTTTGACGAGAATTCGGTGTGATTATCTGTGTTTTCATTGTGTTTCAGAGTTTTCGACTCGGAAACCAACTACCTTAAATTTTCATGAATATTTACTCACGATGGAAAAATTTAATTGAGATAACTTTTTCATTGGGTGATCAATTGCTATGATTGTAAGAATAAGTAACTGACAAACTACCACTGAAAAATAATATGCCGACGCCTATGTCGAGGCGGGAATTCCTTCTCTGTGCTGTTCCAATTGGTATTGGAAATACTACATATGCAGTTTCTATTACCAGTTTTGGGGTCCTTATCACTTCCTTTTTATATTAATTTTTATTTCTACATGTAAATAAGTTTACAATGATACTATTTACCGATAATCCCGTATTTTTATCTACTCTGGATCAATTTACTGCACACAAATTTTCACAAATACTTTTACAAACACACACTTTAACTCGCCTCTGTTAGGGTACGCCTCTGGTAGGGTATTACCTACCCACTTGTATTAACAGATGTGGCTAATTACAAGCAATTTACGGCTTAGTCACAATACCCTGATTCAGTTTTAGATTCTTATAATTCAATTTTCACTAACTTAAAACTTTAAACTCATTTTTATGTTCACACACTTGTTCACGGTATTTTCACTGTCGTTTTGGTGAGAAATTTGAAAATTTTCTTCCGTTAAAAACCACTAAAACTTTAGTTTTTGTCGGGGAAACGGCGATGCACTTATTCACAGACCTTTATGTTTTCACTGCACATTTTCCTACACAATAGGAACTGGGTATATCCTCTGCCCCATCAGAAAGTAATACTTTTACACACAAGGCAGAATTCTGGTGGTACAATTTTTTTCTCCGGCATTGTCTTATCGTCCTCTTGATGATCTCAAAGTTTAGCATATCGAATTGAGCCCCCGGGCGGAATCAGCCCACATATACCTAATATTATTGTTTCCAAGTTATTATTTGCTAAATATAATATTCCAGCGAATGTTCTTAATGGGTAGACAAGGCAAATATCTTGTAATCTATGGGGATCAATTCGAAAGTTGGAGCCCCGCAGGGCGTCAAAGACTCGAGACCTTTTCCCCGTGATTGACAGGCCCTCTTTGCTGCGACTTATCCTTCTCGTGCAGACGGGGATAATTTACACATCCATTCCGAGAGAGAATTCTGGTTTTGATTGATTCGTTCTGTGTCGAGTTGTTTTTTGATCTTGAGCAGACACAACGTTTCTTTTGATACTACAGATCGTAAGCAACAGCTGGAGGTTGTAAATTAGACAGCAGAGTCTACTTATTCAAGAAGTCTAACCAAATGTCTATACGCAGTCTGTTCAAAAAATTAGGTGAATTGTCATCTTTCTTAAAAAACAGTCATTTATTCATCAATTTCTATTTTGTCACCTTTGAAGTAGTTCCCCTCAGATATAATAAACTATGTAACCATTTTTTCCAATCCCCGAAGCAGTGTTGATATGCAATTTTCAGTGTGTCATTGAGCTCTCTCCTCAATGGTCGCAGAACACCGACTTTTCATAGATCTTTCCAATAACTGGAACAGGAAAAAGTTCCAGGGGGCCAAATCTGGTAAATACGGTGGCTGATGCATGATTATGGACGTCTTCTTCGTATTGCGTTTCGCAAGCGGCGCATAACTTCAAGATAATACTTCTCATTGACCGAACGACTGTGTGGTAAGAACTCCTGATGCACTACGCTACAATAATCGTAGAAAACAGTGAGCAAAATCTTGACACTTGATCGAACTTGGCCTGCTTTTTTGTTCTTGGCACAACGACCAGATCAAAAACCAGCCTGTACCAGCACCTCTCACACAGCCAATCCCAGCCCTACCATGAACCCTCCAGTCCAAACCAACATGACACCCATCGAGCGGGAGAGGATAATGGAGCCCCCCAGGCCAGTGGAGAGGATAAAACAAGAACGCGAGGAAACTGCCACAGGATTCGTTCAACCTCCAAGAGATATCCGCGAACCGCTTCCACATCCTCCACAGGATAATAAACCTTGGAGCTACCCTGGGATGGATCTACTGAACACGGGGGCTGCGTTTTGGCAGAATTATTCCGGTGAGTTTATCTGTGATTTGGAGTTGGTTGCACTGGAATAGGAAATCATGAACATTGAGAAAACTGACAATGTTTTCGTACCGCAAGTGATATAGAAACATAGAAAGTTTTATTTCTCAATTTTCACAGTGATCTACCACGAAGTAACGGTTACATCAATCAATTTATTGAATACTAGCTGTTGCCCATGGCTTCGCCCGATTTCAGTTTGGTCTGTCACAGTAAGTTTCGTGACAGATTGTTTTGAACAAATAGTTACAATATTTGTTTTAATAACCTAAAACTTCAGGTTTCCAATTTCGAAACTGATGAAATTCAGTACAAACTTTGAACCCCTATTTTCCCCCTTAGGGATGGAAATTCCTGATTCCCTTTCTTGATGCTTATTTACGCTATACAAAGAACCTACCTGCATATTTCTAGATTCTAGGTTCAGCAGCTTCGGCTGTACGTTAATATAAGAGTGTCAGTCTATCAATTACACAGGCCAACAAAAAAATGTTTTTGTAAACTTTGTTTACTTTAAAAGCTGATTTTCTTAGACTTTTGTGCGCTGAATCCAAATCTGGTTTTTATTTACAGTAGTCTACTTCAAATAATGATACAGTGTTGTAATGTAGGTTTCACTAGTCAGGTGGAGATGATTATGCTTCCTTTCTCTTTTTTCTTTGAAGTTTCTTGTCTTTTCCTGCGATGAGTCGCTTGTTGAGCTTCACGGTGAAGTGACCGACAGTAGTCTCCATCCATTTTTCCATTAATTTTAAATATCTTGGTGAAAACGCTCATCCTGCTCTCCCAAATTTTCCGGCAAGTAATCAAAATGACTGTTCAAGAACATTAAACATCCTAGTTTCTTAAAATTCTTCAACATGGTAGCTACAATGGTACGATATTCTATGTCTTTTGCATTTCCTAAGAATTTTGTAACAATTTGCTTGAATGGTACCCAAGCTCCTCATGTATGGTTATTGTGGTTTCAAAATTTACGTCGAACATCATTTTTCGAATGTCAGGTCCTTAAAAGACGTTTTCTTTAAGTTTAGTCTCTAAAAGGTTTGGAAATTTCTGACAGAGATACTTGAAACAAGGTCCATCTTTAGGCAATGCCTTTACAAACTGTTCCATGAGGCCTAACTTTATATGTAGAGGTGGTAAGAGAATGTTTCTAAGATCTACAAGGTTTTTGCGGTGAATGTTCTTCTCGCAGGGTTTTAAAGACTCTCTCACAGGCCAGTTCTTTCTGCATGTTGAATTTGATTTCCTATTTACAAAGCTCGTATGTTCCTGGATTCGATTCCTAAAGCTTTTGCCAGTTTGACCAATATATACCCTAGGGCACGTTATATACTCCTGATTTCTGGAATTGGATGTTTTGTCTTCATTATTTTTAACTAATTTTCCCAACATATCACTTGTTCTACATGCAATTTTAATATCTCGTTTCCTCAAAAATAAAGCACTTTTTCCGTTGGTTGTTCAAAATAAGTTCAAGCTCTATAATTTTGATTATCTACCTTATCAATAGCAAGTATTTTGTTTATTAATTCGGTTTTAAACCCGTTGCTAACCGCAATTTGCTTGATGATATTAGATTTTTTATTGAAATTATCTATTGAAAGAGAATCATTGACTAATATGTGAATTATGCTATTATAAGCTGTTACTTTGTGTTGATAAGAATGGGTAGAATCGTAATTTATAGTAATATCCGTAGAGGACGGTTTGTGATAAATTGAAAAATCATGTTTGTTGTTCATTCTACCAATTGTTGAATCCAAGAAACTGATTGAGTTGTCTGCTTCTATTTCAATAGTGGATTTAATGTTTTCATGAATTTTGTTAATATCCCTATGAAAAGTACCTATCTATTTGCCTCTAAGTACCTGTAAAACATACCAAAACGTCATCCATATATCTATGGTTTTGTTCATTTGGTAAAAAATTCGTCTTCAAAAAAAAAAATTTTAAATACTGTTGAGTAGATTTGACTGAATCAAAAGTTCACGGAATCAGCCAGTTTTCAATATAAAGATCTGAAAGTTCAGTTCTAATTAGTCTTCCTTCATATAGGATACTACATACATACTTATTCGACAACAAAAGGTATCTGTTTTTTTTTTAATTACAGCTGAATCATTAACAACAATGCAATAACGAAAATTTCTCCGAAGGGAACCGAAAAATCGGTTCCACAGACATAGTGTCTGACTCAAATTGAAAATATGTTATCCTCGATTTGGATGAACTTTTTTCTACCTGGCATTCCACCTCCTACGAAACAGCTTCCTATTCGCTGGTGCATCATGGATGTCCAGATAGCAAGCCATTTTATATAATATCAGATAATGGAAGTCCGAACTAATGAAATTTACTACTTGTCTGTCTCATTGTTTGGTTGTTTCACCGAATACAAATTTCACAATACAATTCTAAACTAACTTTTGATGAGCCAAAGATTCAAATTTCCATTGTTCCAAACCTTCGAACATCTCATCATCTTATCGTGAAAAACTCCATTTTTATTGGTCGATAAATTGGTGTAAAAGTGTAACATTGGAACTCTAAACTATCCCTACCATACAGCACAGCAGAAATTCTAAGTAATGGAGGTGGAAAGAAATATATTGAGAAGAATAAAAAGTTGCCCAATAGAGACAGTAGAAGGAAAATTTCAAACCTAGTTATTTGATGAAAGAAACGTGGATAGAACTCATTGTGCCTAAAACTATTATTTCATCCACTAAAATCACTTTCCATTTCTGATCGTCAGAAATCATTTTCATCAGGACTTTTTTGCTAAAAAGGTGACAATATTTTCGATGCTTCAATTTTCAAAAGAAGCATTTTATCATTGCACAGGATTTGTACAACACATACAGATATCAAATCAAAAATTTATGCTGCAGTAGATAGGATCATGATACCATAGTATCTGATTTTATCTATCAAATTATTACAGTCAAATATTTAACAACGCATGCGATATTCTCAAAACTAACCATAGATATACTCTTATCCTCAGTATTGCAACAAACACTGAGATGAATTTCAACGAAATTTCTTATTTTTCACTCAAATCAATCAACAGAATTCACCTGAGTGATAAAAACGATCAGTCATTGCTGCAATGAAAAGAGAATATTTCTAAATATCTCACATTCTCCGAATACCACACATGACGATGGAAAAAGAAATGATTCAAACTGGCGTACGGCTTTAAAGCTATTCGTCACAGTTTTTTTAAACATAAAGAAGCTCCTAACAAATCAGATCCAATCAATACCGACGATCACATTGAATCGTCTTTCTTGCAAAGAAATCCAGCTTATCAATATTGGAACATACAGAGGATGATGCAGCAGAATCAGACTGCTAATGAAATGGAATAAGTTGGATTTGTATCTGTTGGAATTATAGCATCATCTGGTGTACCGCAAGGCTCTGTTTTTTGCCCTTCACTATTCACAGTTCTCGCAAACGTGGTTTCCAGAATTCTTTTGTGAGCTAACAAATATTGTCTTTTAATGACTATAACGATATTCAAGGAAATATCATCAAGTAGAAATGTCTCTTTCAGTGACAAATTCGTGAAGTTTTTGCAAGAATTTTACAATTCTCAAAGAGGTGCTGATGATAATTTCAAAATGAGTATTCTCACCCGAAACTTCTAGAGGTTCAACTAGAGATTGAAAGTTTCTGTTGAGTGGAAATTCATATCAACACTCTTTCATGCATTATAGGAAAAAGTTCCAGGGGGCCAANCCAATATGAATGTTTGACCGAAATAAATTCCTGTTTCGAAGTGCGTTTCGTTGGCTGAGTCAGCATCATCAGGAAGTAAGTGGGCCTATGTTAGTCATCTGCTTCTTCCGTTCGAGTAGAAATAGCATGATGTTCAGGTTTTCATATGAAGATGGAACTTGAGGACTTGGAATTAGGAAAACGCCTTAGATATAATCATGCCGCCTGACAAGAGTCTTCTTGGGAAATCTTCTTGGTGAAATGAAAGGAAAACTATCAAAATCTTGTGAGTTTTCGAAACGAAGTGATCTATCTGCCTTTTGAATGGATCCTATGAACTCTTATAGGTATCTTAGAGTTAGAATTACGTTATAAACGTAATAAATGTCAAGCAGATATAAATAACAGATTACTCAACTACACAAATGGTTATTACATGTCACTATATACTATAGTATTGAACATGGATTGAAACTTTTTAGAAAACTTATCTGAGGTATGAAGTTTCATGAAATTTTAAATTTCAAACAAGTTGATATACAAGTATTGTATGCTGGTGATATAATAGAACTTTGAGAGAAAAAATGAAATTGCACAAAATATGCAAAGCAACAAAAAGTATTTGTTATTACCAAGAATTCTATAGATCCAGGAAAAAATACGGGAAGTATGTATTCGTATATATAANTTAGTAAAGTAACAACAAGAGTTCCAGCACACTTTGGATCATTTTTACGTGTTAAACGCCATAAGGAAATCTGTAAACCTTGGCGGATTAGGGCTACGTTCGGCTTCTTCCTTAGCTTTACCAGCGTTTCTGTCATCAGTCAATAGTGTTTCCGATCTTATCGATTCCATCTTTCCTTCCATATTTATCAATATCAAAGACGTTTTTTATTCTGAAGGTGAATCACTTTGGCATGCTGCAACTAATGTTGTACTATGTAAAAAAGTTAAATGTAATATATTCTGGTAAAAGAACAGAGATAATTGCGGGTTCCTTCAGAAAAACTAATGTGGAAGTGGCATTTAGATCACATGCCAGGTTATCTGATTTCCTCTTCAATGCCAAAGATAAAGTGGACAAGTTCTGAAGTTTTAACAAGCGAAATAAATGAATTATTATTATCATTATGAAAATGTCCTTATAAGACGAAACTGCAGTAACGTTAGTTACGAATAAAAGTGGTAAAAAACAAAAAGTTTCAATACTCTTTTCTTCAATAAAAATTACAGTTTTTAACGCAAAGTCCTTTACA